AGGTTGAACTTGAAGGTTTATTTTGGATTTCTAACTTGGAGTTTGTACTCGTAGGTTGAACTCAAAGGTTGAACTTGAAGGTTGAACTTGAGGGTTGAACTTGAAGTTTGAACTTGAAGGCTGAACTTGAAGGTTGAACTTGAAGCTTGTACTAGGAGGTTCAACTTGGAGGTTGTACTAGGAGGTTCAACTTGAAGTTTCAACTTGAAGGTTGAACTTGAAGTTTGAACTCGGAGGTTGAACTTGAAGGTTGAACTTGTAGGTTCAATCCGATAGTTGAATTTGAAGTTTGAACGTGAAGGTTGAACTTGAAGGTTCAACTTGAAGTTTGAACTCGAAGGTTGAACTCGAAGGTTGAACTTGAAGGTTCAACTTGAAAGTTCAACTTGGAGTTTGAATTTGAAGGTTGAAATTGAAGGTTGAACTTGGAGTTTGAACTTGAAGGTTGAACTTGGAAGTTGAACTCGAAGGTTGAACTTGAAGGTTGAACTTGAAGGTTGAACTTGAAGTTGGATCTTGGAGGTTCAATTTGAACGTTCAACTTGAAGTTTGAACTTATAGGTTGAGATTGAAGGTTCAATTCGAAGGTTCAACTTGAAGTTTGAACTTGTAGTTTGAACTTGAAGGTTGAACTTGAAGGTTGAACCTGCAGTCTGAACTTGAAGGTTGAACTTGAAGTTGAACTTGGAGGTTGAACTTGAAGGTTGAACTCAGAGGTTGAATTTGGAATTTGAACTTGAAGGTTGAACGTGGAGGTTGAACTTGAAGTTTGAACTTGAAGGTTGAACTTGAAGGTTGAACTCAAAGGTTGAATTTGGAGTTCGAACTTGAAGGTTGAACTTGGAGGTTGAACTCAAAGTTTGAACTTGAAGGTTGAACCTGCAGTTTGAACTTGAAGGTTGAAATTGAAGTTGAACTTGGAGAGTGAACTTGAAGGTTGAACTCAAAGGTTGAACTTGGAGTTTGAACTTGAAGGTTGAACTTGGAGTTTGAACTTGGAGTTTGAACTTGAAGGTTGAGATTGAAGGTTCAACTTGAAGGTTCAACTTAAAGTTTGAACTTGTTGGTTGAACTTGAAGGTTGAACTTGAAGGTTGAACCTGCAGTTTGAGCTTGAAGGTTGAACTTGAAGTTGAACTCATAGGTTGAACTTGAAGGTTGAACTTGAAGTAAAACTTATAGGTTGAACTTGAAGGTTGAACTCAAAGGTTGAAGTTGGAGTTTGAACTTGAAGGTTGAGCTTGGAGTTTGAACTTGAAGTTTGAACTTGAAGGTTGAACTTGAAGGTTGAACTCAGAAGTTGATTTTGGAGTTTGAACTCGAAGGTTGAACTTGGAGGTTGGACTTGAAGTTTGAAGTTGGAGGTTGAACTTGAAGGTTGAACTTGAAGTTTGAACTTAGAGGTTGAACTTGGAGGTTGAACTTGAAGTTTGAACCTGAAGTTATACTTGAAGGTTCAACTTGGAGTTTGAACTTGAATGTTGAACTTGAAGTTTGAACTTGAAGTTATACTTGATGGTTGAACTTGAAGGTTGTACTTGAAGGTTAAACTTGAAGTTCGAACGTGAGGTTGAACTTGAAGGTTCAACTTGGAGTTCGAACTTGGAGTTTGAACTTGTAGGTTAAACTCAAAGGTTGAACTTGAAGATTGAACTTGAGGGTTGTAATAGATGGGGTTCGGAAATGAGGGATGTGTCGTACAAGAAAACCACTTTATTGTTTAACGGCCTCAAAATCTCGGTTTCTAGTGTTACAGACCGCCAGTTAGGTGATTACAAATCTAAAACCAGATTCGCTAATTGATACATTGAAATTCCATGGCGTAAGAACAATCGAAAAACATGCCGGCATCAATCTGGTTAAATGATATTTCGAACTAATATTTAGTAATAATTTGATCATGAAAACAATTATAAATAAAGTTGCTAGAGAACTTACCTAAAACCAGGCACACTATTCGTAACTTGTTACACAAATTCTGATAGCTTCACCAAAAGGCTTTTACGATTGCAAACTCAAATGGCGATCGGCCACTAGGTAAACGCAAGTAAACGTGAAGAAAAGAAGCGAATCTTCGAAGTCTCGGGTTTCCGTAAAAACTACCAAAGTTTATAAAAACAATTTATGGATAAATGGCCAAGTAGAGGCATCTAGTGTAAGGTGAGTTATTTATCGAAGAAGCAGGTAGCTTAGCGAACTGTTATACATATCGAACATATTATAGGCGATGGACACATACAGGATGATTTTGCTACAACTTACCCCCCTCAGATCTTCATTAGCCTGAGGACGAATCAGGAAGTTGAAGATCTTTCTTTTCGAATGGCTTGAGGTGGCAAGCGTGGAACATACCGCGTTCTTCATCTGAATCTAAATGTTGCAAGATGAAGGTTACCGGACTAATTTGCTTCTTAATTCTATAGGGACCCTCGAACAAAAGTAGAAACTTTTTAGTCTCTGCTTTTATTGCTGAGGAGACATTATTTGCCCGAAGTAGTACTAGATCCCCGGTTTTGAATGTCTGGAATGGGCGAGATTGATGTCGGATACGCCGACGAGCTGCACGACCCTGTAGTGTTTCTTTTGCCAAGATGAGTTTGGTTGAATGATCCTCCGATTTTTTTGCAATCGGCCCTTGCACGGCATTCGGTAATAATTTTGTGCGGTGAGTCCCAAAATGTAGTTCTTCCGGCGCATAGCCTGTCGATTCGTGAACAAGCGAGTTTAAAAATATAGAAAAATTCTGTAAATGGATGGCCCAACTTGTGTGATGATCATGGCAATATGTGCGAAAAAGTCGCCCAAGTTCCCTCATTACTCTTTCTGAAGGATTTGCTTGGGGCCTGCGAACTGATGAGAACATTACCTTGATCCCTAAGGAATTCATAGTATCGCGATATTTAGCCGCCGTGAATTGAGTACCGTGATCATTTAGAACCGCCTTCATAGTACCCACTTTTGGAAGATAATCGTTGGTGATACGATTAAGTATCGCCCGAGTGGTTGCCTTTTTAAGTGCGTAAAGCGTTACATATTTCGAGAATACATCCAATAGCACAAGAATGAAAGATACTCCACCTCGGCTTGTTGGAAGAGGGCCGTAGAGATCTAAAGCCACCAACTCATTTTTTGTCGTTGGTATGATCGGAAATAGTTCTGGATTTGGCATTACCGAGCACTTTGCCTTCTGGCATATCTCGCATTGTCGAATTACTTTTTTGACTGTTTTATACATATTGCTCCACCAAACCTCGGACCTTAACGCACGCCAGGTTTTATACGACCCAAAATGTCCAAAGGTGGAGTGATATGCCTCTACGATCTGTTCAATGTAGTTTTTCGGAATACATAGAAGATAAAATTCTTCATTACTTTGTCGCGTGTATAGTATATCCTGAAATAAAACGAAGCGTTGGCCAAGTTCCCCCGGATCAAATGCAATTTTTGTTATGATGTCGTTCAATTTAGGATCTTCTCGTTGATATCGATCAATATTTTTTAAAACAGATTGTATCATTTTCGGTAATTTCAACATTGGCAAAATCTTGAACAATTTATCATTTGGCGACGGAGGTCGAATAGCTGAATGACGTGATAACGCATCAGCGATTACGTTATTTGGTCCGGAAATGTGCTCAATATCGAAATCGAACTCTTGAATGGCCAATGCGTATCGAGAAATTCGAGCAGAAAGCAAACGGCACGTCTTCAGGTAAGTGACAGAGTTATTATCTGTATAAAGAGTGAATTTTTTCCCTAGCAGATATATTCGGAATTTGGATAAGGCCCACACTATGGCTAAGGCCTCTTTTTCGTTAATAGAGTAACGCGTTTCACGACTTAACAAAAGACGTGAGGCCCACGCCACTGGACGTCGCTGGCCATCTACGACTTGAAATAGTTGGCATCCCAGTGCCGTATCACATGCGTCGGTTTCGATACAAAACGGAACATCGCCCCTTGGATGGTAGAGCATCGTGCCTTCTTGCAAATTCTGTTTTAAATTCTCAAAAGCTCTTTGTTCACTGTCTGTCCATTTCCAACGTGATTTCTTTTTTAATAACGCGGTTAAAGGAGACGCAATTGATGAAAATTTACAACAGAAAGATCGGTCGAAGTTTGCAAGTCCTAAAAAGCGCTGAAGCTCTTTCACATTTTTAGGCGGAATATAATCCATCAAAGCTTGAATCCGGCTTGGGTCTGGTCGAATACCAGTGGTATCCAAAATATAGCCCAGAAAAGGCATTTCCGAGCGAATGAATTTACACTTTTTCAATTTCAGCGTGAAACCAGATTCTTTTAATTTTCGAAATACTTTTTCCAAGTGTATCATGTGTTCCTCAAAACTGTCTGAAATCACGAGAAGGTCATCAACATAAACCACTAAGAAGTTCTCGAATTCACTTCCGAAAATTTTATTTAGACACCGTACGAAAGTACTTACGCTAGTATTCAGCCCGAATGGTAAACAACGAAAACAATAGGTTTTCCCATTGAATTTAAAACCAGTGTACTTTTGCGATTCTTCGGTGAGAGGTATTTGCCAATATCCACTACTAAAATCACATGACGTCATAAATTTCACCCCTTTTATACTTCGAAGGATTTCTTCGATTGGTGGCGGTGTATCATATTCTTTCACCATGAGAGAATTTAGGTAACGGGCATCTAGACAAATTCGCACCGTGTTATCTTTTTTTAGAGCAGTCATTATTGGAGAAACATAGGGCGTGGCCATTTGCTTAATGACACCCCAGGTTTCCATCATATCCAACTGTTTTTGAATGATTGGTTTATGTGCTAATGGCACTGGGTACTGTTTCAAACAAAACTCTTTATTTTCCCGTAATCGTATCTCATGTTGATACTCTTTCGTTCTCCCCGGTATATCGGAAAAGAGATCTGCAAAATCTAATAATAATTGTTCTAAAATATTTTTTTGTTCCGGCTGTAAAGAAACTTCGCGTACAATGCATTTAATATCCTCAACCGCTTTACACTCGGAAATACCGCATATAAAAACCGGACCATTTTTTATCGTGATGTTTTTAATATTCATCGTCTCGATACCAGATAAACTATCGCCATTATCTATCATTGGAACTTTTTTCCATTCTTTCTCAAATTTGAAAAATATAGTATTCATTTCGAAATCTATTTTTGTCGGCAAGGAGCGCAAAAAATCTATCCCTATTATAATCGGGCATATAAGGTCAGGAATTAACAAAAATTCAAAATTGAAAAGATGGTCTGAGATTGAAAATAATAATAAGGACTGTTGTGTGACCCTCCGTTGTTTGATTTTAAAGGCACCTGTGACTCTTACCCCGGTACACGGAAAGGTAGGAATTTTATGATGAGATGGTTCCAGTTGGGACCACACTTCCTCGCTTATACAAGACACCTCGCTACCGGAATCGATTAGGGCGGGAAACCTGAATCCGTATAATGAGATTTCTATAATAGGTGCTTGAGGGTGACCAAATCCGGGATCTGAGTCACTATCATGCAATAATTCTTCGTACGGATTGTTAGATGGTAAATTGGTTCTTTGATTATCTATCCTCACGCCAGAACCTTTTCGTGAGGCTCGCACTCGTTTTCCGACTCAGACATGTCATTTGAATTTTTTGCATTGTTCTCAACCCCCAATGTGGCTACCCTAGGTGTTCGATTTTCATCTCCCCTGTACCCAGATTTAGGTTTCTGCGCATATTCTTTAGAATATCCGCTACTGAAATTTCGGGATCGATTTTCGTTCGTAGGTGAAAAGTGACTGTGACTCGAAACTTGTACCTCTCTTGAAAAATAAGCGTCGGCTTGCCTAAGTCTTTCTAGGGCTTCTGAAAAGTTTCTAGTAAGGACCAGACAGCTAGAAATATTCGGGGGAAAAAGTTTTGCAATTTTTTTTATCAGGTTTTCCTCAGAAAGTGGTGGCTCTAAATGTTTTGTTGAAGACATTAATAACAAAAAATGTTGAACCAATGAACCTTTACCCTCGTATTTTGTTTTCCTTAATTTATCTAGCACTTCATCCTGTATATCTTCATTCCAAAATTGTTGCTTAAATGCATTCTTGAATGATCCAAAGTCGTAAAAATTATTTAAACATGCTTGACCCCACAGAGATGCCTCTCCTTTCAAATGATTTGCGATCACATACTTGAAATATTCAAAAGGAACTCTATTCATATTATAATAATATTCTAGCTGCTCTAAAAAATCTATGGGGTGTAAATTCGTTTTTGTATCAAATATTGGTAATTTTCCCATTTCAACTTGGGAGTTTCTTATGTTATTTAGTTGAGAATTATCCTGATTAGTGTTGGAAGTATTAGGTAAGTTCTGCAGAGTACTCATTACTTGCGTAACTATCGAAATTAATTCTTGTCTATCTAAGTTAACATTATTAGAGACTGTAGGTCTGCGAGCTGAGCTCCACTGAGGCATTGCACCAGTATTCTCACTAGAAAAAGCATAATTTTGTGGTTTTGGGCCCTGTGTCATATAATCTTGATATTCCCTACGATTATTATTTGTGTTATTGTTACTATTATTTAAATTTACCCTCTCGAAGTTTTTTGTAACATTTTCCATATTCCTTACATTTCTATTGCTATGTGACATCCTATAATTACCTGGTATGAAATTAGGCACATTCGAATTATTTGGAAAAACAAATGACTGCCCTGTAGGATTATTATCAACATTGAAAAACATATTAGCCCTTTGAGCAGGAATTTCCGAGTTTACAAAATATGGTGGAAAATTAACATTAAAGTCTCTATTGGGTAAATTGAAATGATTGTTATTTGAGTGAGAGCTTTGCCCTTCCAGATTTCCTGGTGGTAGGCTCCCTTCCTCAGGGTGATGTGCACCTGAAGGATTTTCTTGAGATGTGGGCACATTCTGCTGATCAGTGGCCGCCGAAGGCGGATTTTTCTCCTTGGAGGAATTTTCCTCCTCTCCCTGCGCGCCAGACGAAAAAGGAAAAAATCTCATACCTGTTGTGTGGCTTTGTGGTGTTACCGGAAGGTTATTGTTCGTTTGTCCTGAAGTTCTCAAAGATTCTCGATTTTTTGGTATCGTTCCTGTTTTCGGCTGCATAGTTTTCTTTCTCAAATTATAGGGGCTCGGATTTTCCATTCTGACTCTCCCTATGGCCTATGTTTGGGCGCCAGTTGTAATAGATGGGGTTCGGAAATGAGGGATGTGTCGTACAAGAAAACCACTTTATTGTTTAACGGCCTCAAAATCTCGGTTTCTAGTGTTACAGACCGCCAGTTAGGTGATTACAAATCTAAAACCAGATTCGCTAATTGATACATTGAAATTCCATGGCGTAAGAACAATCGAAAAACATGCCGGCATCAATCTGGTTAAATGATATTTCGAACTAATATTTAGTAATAATTTGATCATGAAAACAATTATAAATAAAGTTGCTAGAGAACTTACCTAAAACCAGGCACACTATTCGTAACTTGTTACACAAATTCTGATAGCTTCACCAAAAGGCTTTTACGATTGCAAACTCAAATGGCGATCGGCCACTAGGTAAACGCAAGTAAACGTGAAGAAAAGAAGCGAATCTTCGAAGTCTCGGGTTTCCGTAAAAACTACCAAAGTTTATAAAAACAATTTATGGATAAATGGCCAAGTAGAGGCATCTAGTGTAAGGTGAGTTATTTATCGAAGAAGCAGGTAGCTTAGCGAACTGTTATACATATCGAACATATTATAGGCGATGGACACATACAGGATGATTTTGCTACAGGGTTGAACTTGGAGTTTGAACTTGAAGGTTGAACTTGAAGGTTGAACTTGAAGGTTGAACACGGAGTTTTAACCTGAGGTTGAACTTGGAGGTTGAACTTGAAGGTTGAAGTAGGAGGTTCAACTTGAAGGTTGAACTTGAAGGTTGTACTAGGAGGTTCAACTCGAAGTTTCAACTTGAAGGTTGAACTTGAAGTTTGAACTCGAAGGTTGAACTTGAAGGTTGAACCTGAAGGTTCAATTCGAAAGTTGAATTCGAAGTTTGAACGTGAAGGTTGAACTTGAAGGTTCAACTTGAAGCTTGAACTTGAAGGTTGAACTCGAAGGTTGAACTTGAAGGTTCAACTTGGAGTTTGAACTTGATTGTCGAACTCGAAGGTTGAACTTGAAGTTTGAACTTGAAGTCAGACATGAAGGTTGAACTTGAAGGTTGTACTTGAAGGTTCAACTTGAATTTCGAACTTGAAGGTTCAACTTGAAGTTCGAGCTTGAGGGTTGAACTTGAAGTTTGGACTTGTATGTTGAACTTGAAGATAAACTTGGAGATTGAACTAGAAGGTTACATTCAATGGTTGAACTTGAAGTTTGAACTTAAAGGTTGGACTTGAAGTTTCAACCTGAAGTATGAACTTGATGTCTGAACTTGAAGTTTAATCTTGAAGGTTCAACTTGAAGGTTCAACTTGAAGTTTGAATTTGAAGGTAGAACTTGAAGGTTGAACATGAAGTTTGAACTTAGAGGTTGAACTTGAAGGTTCAACTTGAAGTTTCAACTTGGAGGTTGAACTTGAAGTTTGATCTTGAAGGTTTAACTTGAAGGTTCAACTCGAAGTTTGAATTTGAAGGTTGAACTTGAAGGTTGAACATGAAGTTTGAACTTCGAGGTTGAACTTGAAGTTTGAACCTGAAATTATACTTGAAGGTTCAACTTGAAGGTTGAACTTGAATGTTGAACTTGGAGTTTGAACTTGGAGTTTGAACTTGAAGTTGAACCTGGAGGTTGAACTCAAAGGTTGAACTAGGAGGTTCAACTTGAAGGTTGAACTTGAAGGTTGTACTAGGAGGTTCAACTCGAAGTTTCAACTTGAAGGTTGAACTTGAAGTTTGAACTTGGAGGTTGAACTTGAAGGTTGAACTTGAAGGTTCAATTCGAGAGTTGAATTCGAAGTTTGAACGTGAAGGTTGAACTTGAAGGTTCGATTCGAAGTTTGAACTTGAAGGTTGAACTCGAAGGTTGAACTTGAAGGTTCAACTTGGAGTTTGAACTTGAAGGTCGAACTCGAAGGTTGAACTTGAAGTTTGAACTTGAAGTCAGACGTGAAGGTTGAACTTGAAGGTTGTACTTGAAGGTTCAACTTGAATTTTGAAGTTGAAGGTTCAACTTGGAGTTCGAGCTTGAAGGTTGAACTTGAAGTTTGTACTTGAAAGTTGAACTTGAAGTTAAACTTGAAGATTGAACTAGGAGGTTACATTCAATGGTTGAACTTGAAGGTTGGACTTGAAGTTTGAACTTGAAGTATGAACTTGAAGTTAAACTCGGAGGTTGAACTTGAAGGTTGAACTCGAAGGTTGAATTTGGAGTTTGAACTCGAAGGTTGAACTTGAAGGTTGAACTTGAAGTTTGAACTCGAAGGTTGAATTTGAAGGTTGAACTTGAAGGTTCAACTTGAAGTTTGAACTTGAAGGTTGAACTTGAAGGTTGAACTTGAAGGTTGAACTTGGAGTTTGAGCTTGAAGGTTCAACTTGAAGGTTCTACTCGAAGTTTGAACTTGAAGGTTGAACTCGAAGGTTGGACCCAAAGGTTCAACATGAAGTTTGAGCTTAAAGGTCGAACTCGGAGGTTGAACTTGAAGTTTGAACTTGAAGTGAGACTTGAAGGTTGAACTTGAAGGTTGTACTTGAAGGTTCAACTTGAATTTTGAACTTGAGGGTTCAACTTGAAGTTTGAGCTTGGAGGTTGAACTTGAAGGTTGAACTTTGAGGTTCAACTCGAAGTTTGAACTTGAAGGATGATCTTGAAGTTTAAACTTGAAGGAAAAAATTGAAGGTTGAACTTAAAGGTTGAACTCGAAGGTTGAACTTGGAGGTTGAACTTGATGTTCGACCTTGAAGGTTGAACTTGAAGGTTCAACTCGAAGTTTGAACTTGAAGGAAGATCTTGAAGAATGAACTTGTAGGTTGAACTTGAAGGTTGAACTTGAAGGTTGAACCTGCAGTTTGAACTTGAAGGTTGAACTTGAAGTTGAACTTGGAGGTTGAACTTGAAGATTGAACTCAAAGGTTGAATCTGAAGTTTGAACTTGAAGGTTGAACTTGAAGGTTGAATTTGAAGTTTGAACTTGAAGGTTGAACTTGCAGGTTGAACTTGAAGTTTGAACTCGAAGGTTGGACTTGGAGGTTGAACTTAAAGGTTCAACTTGAAGTTTCAACTTGGAGGTTGAACTTGAAGTTTGATCTTGAAGGTTTAACTTGAAGGTTCAACTCGAAGTTTGAATTTGAAGGTTGAACTTGAAGGTTGAACATGAAGTTTGAACTTCAAGGTTGAACTTGAAGTTTGAACCTGAAATTATACTCGAAGGTTCAACTTGAAGGTTGAACTTGAATGTTGAACTTGGAGTTTGAACTTGAAGTTGAACTTGAAGGTTGAACTTGAAGGTTGTACTTGAAGGTTCAACTTGGAGTTCGAACGTGAGGTTGAACTTGAAGGTTGAACTTGAAGGTTCAATTCGAAAATTGAACTTGATGTCTGAACTTGAAGTTTGATCTTGAAGGTTCAACTTGAAGTTCGAATTTGAATTTGATACGATGGCAGTGACCGTATGAGACGACTCTGAAGGGTATATAACGAGTTAAATAGGTAAATGAAGTTACATCGACTTCATCGGTGTGCACCCTTTATCTCTCTATCCTATTATCTCATTTGGATACTATTGGAGCGAACTAGTTCGCAATGCCCGAATGAGACGACTTCTGAGCGAGTATAACGCACACAACTTGCAGAAGAAGAAACTTCGACTACGACTATGTTCACAAAGAAACTCTGCAGTCTAGCATCTGACATGCATACAGTTGAAGCAGATATGATCGCAGTGACCATATAAGACGACTTCGGAGGGTATATAGAAAGTACAATAGGCAGATGAAGATACATCGACTTCATCGGAGTGCACACTATATCTCTCTATCCTATCCTCTCACATGGACATTTTTGAAGCAGACAAGTTCACATCGAACATATAAAACGACTTTCAAGCAGGTATAACGCACACAGCATGCAGAACAAGAAACTTCGACTTCGACTATGTCATCTGATATTCATACAGTTGGAGCAGATTCGATTGTAGTGACCGTATGAAATGACTTTGAAGGGTATATAACGTGAACAATAGGCAAATGAAGACACATCAACTTCATCGTTGTGCACACTATCCCATCAGCTCACAAGGAAACTATTGAAGCGAACGATTTCGCACTGCCCATATGAGACGACTTTTGAGCGGGTATAACGCACACAACTTGCAGAAGGCGGAACTTCGACTACGACTATGTTTGCACAGGAACTCTGCAGTCTTGCATTTGACATGCATACAGTTGAAGCAGATATGATCGCAGTGACCATATAAGACGACTTCGGAAGGTATATAGGGAGTACAATAGGCAGATGAAGATTCATAGACTTTATCGGAGTGCACACTCTATCTCTCTATCTCATCATCTTACATTGACACTATTGAAGCACATAAGATCGCATTGACCATATAAGACAACTTCCAAGCGAGTATAACGCACACAGCTTGCAGAACAAGAAACTCCGACTCTGACTATGTTTACACTGTAAATCTGCAGTCCAGCATCTGACATGCATACAGTTGAAGCAGATACGATAGCAGTGACCGTATAAGACGACATTGAATGGTATATAAAGAGTACAATAGGCACAAGGGGATACATCGAGTTCATCGTCGTACACACTATATATCTCCATCTTATCACCTCACATGAACACTATTGAAGCAGACGAGTTCTTATTGACCATATAAGACGACTCCCAAGCATGTATAACGCACACAGCTCGCAGAACAAGAAATCTCGACATTGGCTTTGTCAACACTGTAACTCTGCAGTCTAGCATCTGACATACAAACAGTTGAGCAGATACGATGGCAGTGACCGTATGGGATGACTTGAAAGGATACATAACGAGTACAATAGGCAAATAAAATACATCGACTTCATCGTCGTACACACTATATATCTCTATCCTATCATCGCACATGGACACTATTGAAGCAGCCAAGTTCGCAACGACTATATAAAACGACTTCCAAGCGGGTACAACGCACACAGCTTGCAGAACAAGAAACTCCAACTTTGACAATGTATACACTGTAACTCTGCGGTCTAGCATCTGATATGCATGAGGTTGAAGCAGATACGATGGCAGTGACCGTATGAGACGACTTCAAAGGGTATATTACGAGTACAACAGGCAAATGGGGATACATCGACATCATCGTCGTGAACACTATTCTATCATCTCACATGGACACTATTGAAGCATACAAGTTCGCGATGACCATATTGA